GAGAATGCAATCAATCTCGCTGAATCGTGCACATGTAAACGGTCGAAGTGGCCAGTGTTTTGTGGAGGAAGAGGCAGCTCCACTCGTGCTAACGTAAAGGACGGTCTCCAAGATGTGTTTGGTGCAGAAGGTGTGGGATGTGCACGCGTACATGCTCGTATATGCACTGACTACCCCTGGTAATGGTAGTGGTCTCTGGGGAGGGGACCTGGGCCTAGAATCCGACCATGGGAGACTGACTTTTCATTAGATACCCTTCCACACAGTTGGGATTTTTTCACTCCCTGTCTGTATGACATCCTTCCTGTTCTGATTAAATAAATCCCTTCTACTCACACTATCTCATCTGACCCTCAAAACAAGCCCAAGAGATAAAGGGGATCACAACCTCTATCTTATTGGTGATGAAACAAGGTAGGGTGGTGTATTTTCCCAGGGTCTCACAAAGGAGCCCCAGTGCGCAGTGGCTAAGCACTCCGCTGCTAACCGAAAGGTGGGTAGTTTGAACCCACCAGCTGCTCCACGGGAGAAAGATGTGGCAGGCTGCTTCCATAAAGATTACAGCCTTGGAAAGTCTACGGGGCAGTTCTACTCTGTTCTCTAGGGTTGCTATGAGTTGGAATCAACCTGATGGCACCTAACTACAACAACGAGGCTGGAGCAGAGTCAAAACTTGAACCCAGGTCTCCTGGTGCTAAACTCCACGTTCTCCCCAACTTCTTATCTCAGCACCCACCATCAGAGGACTGAGGATGCCCTGGAAGGGGAGAGTCCCCAGCGGGCCCCCGTCAACATACATATTACCTAGGAGGGGAGGGGATGGATGAGGGTGCTATTCTCTGACAGCAGGGTTAGAAGACTAGAAAGGCCCAGAGACCTTCCTGGAGAGACATGTACTCCAGGGCAGGGGGTCTCTGTGGGGGTTGAGTGGTGGGGAGCACACTGGGCTCTGGCCCAGGCAGGGGGTGAGTGGGTTCCCCCGAGTCCACTGCCTGTGATCCCTCTACGGTCAGCTCCAGGGTGCGTCCTAGCTTCTCAACAGAGCAAACGGTGCTGGCTCCTGGGGTAAAGGCCAGGCATGGTAGAAGGAATGAAGCAGCTGTGTGCTCTGCGGAAATCGTTTAGCTCGTGGGGAAAGCAGGTTCTTCCCCACCCTAGCATGAGAAAACATAAACAAGGGAGCAAGAACTATCTCAAGGGTGGGGAGAAGGAAAAACACCAGGAAAAAAAACACAGTTGCTGTTGATTCAACTCCAGCTCATGGAAACCCTATGTGTGCACAGCAGAACTGTGCTCCATTGGGTTTTCAATGGCTGATTTCTTAGAAGTACATCTTTAAATATAAATTCAAGTTTCAAATAAAACAAATAACTACTTATAGAATGAAAACACCCTCTATTCAAAAGGAAGGGATTATTCTTTTTGCAAGCCCAAGCCTGAGCCTGCTACCCCACCCCCAAAAGGCCACTTGGGGCCGGGGATTCAAGGACGCAGAAGAAATGACACAGCTGCTCTGAGTTTCCCGAAGACCAAGAAGCCCTCACCCTAAGCCCTTGAGAGATCCACCCAGGGAAATGGGATGCTAGCCAACGGTCACAGGAGGTTGATGACCTGAGGAACCCTGGAAATGGGTAGAGCAGAAGGCTGGACTAGGGAGCCCTCGTTATCCAAGTCTGTTCCTTCCATGTTTCTTAAAGTGTGAATGACTGGTGACAACAAAGTGATTTCACATGGATCCAGACACACCTGTTTTTTTTATTCCAGTGGTTGTGTGTTTATTTTTACGGCTACCTTCTCGTTTTGGCAAGTGTTGCTGGTTTTCCATTGGCTGCAAGGAGATAATGTTCCCTTTGAACATGTGTTAAAGTTATAGACGAGTGAGCGGATTTAAAAAAAGTATTAAGTAAGTGATTAGATAAATGGTATAGGGGTGGTGAAAATGATGAAGATGTTTGTGAATGCCTGGAATTTGGGAAACATGGCTGTCACTGATGACTGGTTCCCAGGGAAGAAAAAGTTGTTCCCTATTATTAGAGAAATTAGCATTAAGTACAAGGGAATTGCCTCCAGGTCTAGTCTTCACCATCAAGTCCAAAAATATGCACATCTACCCTGACAAAGCGTGTTTATTAACTGCCTGTGTGTGCACCCTACACCCAGGCATACGGTCTCCTTCAAACCACTGGGCTGAGTTTATGAATAGCATATTTGTACATGTACTATATCTGGGCATGTGTAAAAATACATACCTTGGGCATAATCAAGCTGCTGTTTTCAACATGTCTTTATTCCCCCACACAATGTGCTGGGACATGTGAGCCTGGCTTATTTATAGATGAGGATCACTTTTCAGAGGACTTGGGGGCAAATGCTCCAGAGCCCAGGAACTGGCACCGCTGGTTTGCTGAAATACTCTGGGGAGGTCACTTCTCTGTCCTAAACTGCGGTTGGACTATGGAATCTCTAAGCCCACCAGCAGCATGAACTTCTTCAGACCCTGTGGCTCTCTTGCCCCAACCATCAGGTCATACCTTTGAGAGCCTGAGGATCTTCCACCCTGGGGCTCAGTGGACAGGCCTGGGTACTGGCTGTGTGACCTGGGGCAAGTTACTTTCATCTCTGATCCTCAGTTTCCTCATTTAACAACACAAATAATAATATCTACCATATCCGTATGCACAGACTTGGAAGGATGTTCATTATATGTAAAGTGCAGGGGAAAAAAAAAGTTGCAGACCAATGTAATTCCATTTTTGTTTTGTTTTTTAAAAGATGATTGAACAAAAATCTAGTAGGTACAGTATAACCCAAGTTTTTCAAGAGAATAGTTATAGAAAGTACAGGAAAAAAGTCTGGAAGGATAGGCATCAAAATTAGCAGTGGCTTTCTAAGGATGGTAGGGTAATAGGTAATTTTTGTTTATCTGAATTTTAAAAACATATTTGCTAGGAATATAAACTAAGAGTAAATAGAGGAAAAGTATGAAACATAATAAATACCTACCTCGAAGGATGATGGGAAGGATTAAAGGAGAAAACACACGTAAAAGGCTTAGCACAGCGCTCAGCCCAGGGCGAACACTCATTAAGTGGTGGCTATTGTGACTTTGAACGTGGGGAGGTCTTTCTGCTGCCTCCCACCCTTCGGGGACTGCCAGGACTAGGCTGTCACTTGGTTCTGGACCAGCTCATTTGCTCTGGGTTCATGGAACTCCAGGGAGCAGCCCCAACAGTAGTGAGAGGCCCCTGCATTTGGAAAAGCACAGAACTTAAAATGGCAGAGCTAGAAGGGACCAGGCAGCATTTCCCAAGGCTTACTCCCTAGAATGCTCACTCAGGGGATATTAACAGGGTTCTGCTGCAAAAGGGGTTCACGGGTAAATGAGACTAGGAAGTGCTTGGTGAAAGAAGTACTTCTCAAGGCCTTGCTAACTCCGAGTTGTAGGCAAAGTTTCCTGACCTTATTTGACCATGGAATACTTTTTTTAAGAAGCATCTTATGGGCTTAATGTTCTACAAAGAATACGACCTAACCCAGTCCTTCCGTTTTATAGGTGGGGAGAATGAAGCTGGGTGAGAAGTGACTGCTGAGGGTCAATGGGGCTAGCTGGTCATCAAAGACAACAAGATCTCTTATGTCTTGACCTCTCGCCCTTCTTCCTCCCTCTCAGCTGTCCCAGGGATGTGCCTTGTGACTTATCTTGAGGTTTCTCTCACACGTTCCACTTCTATGGGAAGAAGTCAGAGGAGCTGGGACAACTCAACACAGTCATGAGAAGGCTAGCCCAGTCCCAGGGCAGGGGGATCTGGAAACCAGCATTTCTGAAGGTATGGAACCCCCCTTCCACCCAGAGGGCAGGAGAGCGAGCCAGCTGCTAACTAAGCTAGAGAGAGGTAGGGAGAGGACTGCAGGGTGGCTGCAAAAGGCCCTTGGAGCCACATTTCCAAAGAATCCATGGGGCGATGACCTAGTCATGAGGCCAACTCAGAGACCACAGATGCAAATGAGCCTTTGTGGTTTTTCAGTCACACTAAATGCACACCTGGATCCCAAAACAGGGATCAAGTCTGGAGTCTGGTTTCCACTTTTCTTCTACCCCAGAAACTCTTTCCTGGGATGGCTCCACCTACCCATTGCCTTTGTGGGGAGTGGGGAGGATGAGATGGGAAGGACCTTCACAGCTCATTTATCAGATGGCTGTACTCCACTGGATGGAACCAGAACTGGAAGAGGAATCCTGCTCCAGTGTGAAAATTCTGGTTGTTTGCTGCCACTGAGTTGGTCCCTCACTCACTGGGACCCCATGCACAATGAAAGGAGATGCTGCCCATCTCATCCCCGTGATTGGTTGTGGATCGGATCGTTGTGATTCTTAGGGTTTTCACTGTCTGGTTTTCAGAATAGATCACCAGGCCTTTCTTCCTAGTCTGTCTTAGTCTGGAAGTTCCACTGAAACCTGTTCAGCATCATAGCAACATGCAAGCCTCCTGGGCTTGTGTCAAATCAAATCAAATCAAGTCAAATCAAAGCCGGGTCTCCCACACAGAAGGCAAAAATTCTACCACTGAACTACCGCTGCCCTACATCCCTCCTCCCCCGGAAACTCTGGAGGAACCTTGAAAAGAGAAAACCCTCCCAGCAGCCTCGGGTCCTGAACGAACAAGGAATATTCTGCCAGTGACTCACGATGTGGCCTTGGATAAATCACAGCTCTTCTCTGTCCCCCAGTTTCCTTCTCAATAAAGCCAGTGATTAGATTAGATCTGCTCTGAAGGACTCCCCACTAGTCCCCACCCAAGCTCCAAAGCTTGGTGGGTGGCTCTCCTCCCAGGAGCAAACACTTCTTGTCCGACTTGTCTTTGGGGCCTGACATGAGCAGGGAGTCAGGCAATGTTGGCTCCCAAGCTGGTTTGGGAAAATGGAGCCCCGTGGACTGTGAGGACCCTCATTCCTGAGCACACTCAGAGCCCTCTCTGCTCTGCCCACTGGCACCCCCTCCTCACTCACCGCGGCTCCTTGGGCACTGTCACCTGGTCCTTCTCCCAGGTAATGACTGGTGCTGGCGACCCTTCGATGTGGCATTCAAACCGAGCTGTCCCGTTCTCCTCCACCGTCTGGGACTCTGGGTGCAGAGAGAAGCCTGCAAGTGCTGGGGATGAGGACAGTGGGACACAGGCAGAGCAGGACAGGAGCAGAGAGGGAGTAGAGGCAGCGAAACACAAGCACACGCACGCACATGTGAGACATAGAAACACAGTGACAGAAACACAGAGCAGAGCAAATTCAGACCAAGATGACACACACACACACAGTTGGAAAGAGGCGGCCAGAGGGATAAGAAGTGGGGATTACTGGTCAGATGCTGCAAACAGAACGAATTTCAAAATCCCCCTGCCTAACATCACTGTGATGGCCGGGCTACTTAAATACACATTTCTCCTGGCCTGAAATTTACTTCATGGTGATCTGTGCCTCCTGAGAGCCACACAAGGGAGGGGCTGGACCATGGGGCTTGACTCCACACTCCACCTGGGTGGAGGTGGGGAGCTCCCCCAGAAGGCTCCTGTGTGCCTCTGACACTCTTACCAGCCTTTCTGGCGGGCGTGCTGGAGGAGAGCACAAGTCCAGACTCTAGCCTCAAAGGGAAAGTTCAGGAGGAGGAATGGGGGAGTGGAGAAGGAGCAGGGAGATAATAGCATACAGAACCGGGAGGGAATAGCCAGGAAGAGACCCACTGAGCAGGATGGGGGGCAGAGAAAAGGGGAGTGAGCTCAAGAGACAGGCATTTGTGCAAGTAACTAACTGCAGACCCCACTCTCCACACCCCAGCTCTCCTGGGTCCTAGTCCCAGACCCCAGATGCAGGCGCTTACTAGCGAGCTTGACCACAGCAGCCTGGCTGGCCACCACTCCCAGAGGGCCACGGGCCAGGCAGGAATAGCTGCCCTCAATGACGTCCGAGGCCCCAGGGGCCGCCTCATCACTGCCATCGAGCGCTGGTGACTGGGACAGCCACAGGGAGCCGTTGGGCAGCACGTGCAGATGGTGGTGCTCAGGCAGGGAGGCCCCGTCTTTGCTCCAGATCACTCTGGTGGGGGGTCCAGCAGCGGCCCCCAGACTGCAGTCCAGCACCACGGCCTGCCCCGGGCCCAGGATCACTTGCAGTGGCCCCGTTCCACAGCTCAGCTCCACAGTCTCCTGGTGCAACTTCAGCTCCCCTGCACGGAGGAGGAGGCACGGCCATCAGGTGGGTCCTCCCACCGCCGGCAGCCTCCAGCTCCTGACTCACCTCCCCCCAGGGGCTGCGGCCAATGGTGGAGAAGGACCTGTGTCTGAACCCTGGCTCTGCCCCTTAGGAGCTGTGATCTTGGGGGAACTGCTGCACTTCTCTGCACCCTTCTTGCCTGCTGTTCCATTTCTTCATCATAAAAAGATACAGCTCATAGCAGCATTATTCATAATAGCCAAAAAGTGGAAACAACTCAGTGTGATTGTTAATGTTGTGGGTCAACTTGGTTAGGCTATGATTCTCAGTGGTTTGGCAAACACTGGACTGGGTGCTGTTCCGTAAGGTAATGTAATTATCTTCCATGATGTGATCTGATGTGATCAACCAATCAGTTGAAAGAGGGAGTTTCCTTGAGGGTGTAGCCTGCCTCCAGAATATAAACGGATGTTCTGGCAGAGATTACTTGCTCTCTCTTTCTCTCTCCGCCCAGCATTCTTCCCATTGCCTGACCTATGGATCTCGGGATGTAAGCCCACCGGTTTCTGGGCTGCTGCCTGACCTGTAGATTTTGGATTTGCCAGCCCCCCCACAATCTTGTGAGCCTGAAAATGTCTCCAGCCTGCCGTCTGACCTATGGATTTGGGACTTGCCAGCCCCTACAATTGCATGGGCCATAGATCTTAAAGTAGATATACCCATCCACCTACCCACCCACCTACCCACCCACCTACCCACCTACCTACCTACCTACCTGTGTCTCACTGGTTTTGCTATTCTAGAGATCCCAAACCAAGACACAAGTGTCCATCAACTGATGGATGGATAAACAAAATATGGCACATCCATACAACTGAATATTATTCAGCCATAGAAAGAATGAAGTACTGATACATGCTACAACATGGATGAACCTTAAAAACACACCAAGTGAAAGAAGTCAGTCACAACAGACAACCTATTGTATGATTCCACTGATATTAAATGTCCAGAATAGGCAATTCCATAGAAACAGAAAGTACATCAGTGGTTGCTGGGGGCTAGGGGAAAGCAGCAACTGGGAGTGACTGCTAATGGGTATGGAAACCCAGGTGGTGTAGTGGTTAAGAGCTATGGCTGCTAACCAAAAGGTCGGCAGTTTGAATCTACCAGGTGCTCCTTGGAAATGCTATGGGGCAGTTCTACTCTGTCCTATAGGTCACTATGAGTTGGTATCGACTTGACGGCAATGGGTTTGGTTTTTTTGGTTTGGCTAATGGGTACCAGGTTTCTTTTTGGGGTGATGAAAATGTTCTGGAATTAGATAGTGATGATGGTTACACAATCTTGTGAATATACAAAAACCCACTGAATCGTATATTTTAAATGGTGAATTTTATGGTATGTGAATTATATCTCAATGTCTGAAAAGACACAGTCATTCCTTCCTCACAGAGCTGTGGTGGGCACGAAATGAGAGGACGTGTGGGGAAGGAGTGTTGCAGTGCCTGGCACAGAATGGGGCTCAGCAATGTCATTCCCTCCCCTGGAATCCTACAGATTGTCTTGACCACTGTGCTAAAAATATATCATGAACTAGAAAAATATGGAATCCAGGAAACATTAAAAGCATGTATTACAAGTGTACGAAAGTACCTGTATATGTGTGTGTGAATACACATATATGCTGAATAAACAAAACAAAAATAATTCCAAGCAGCCACCTGAATGTAGGGAAGTTAGATGCTGTCCCCCACCCACCTCCTTTGGACAAAGCAACAGATCATGATGGGAAAAGCTAAGTGCTCTGGGCTGCCCATCAGGTAAGGGCTAGACTCAAGCTGGGTTCAGGGCAAGCCCAAGGAGAGGCGCCCATGGCTCATTCCAGGCACCTGGGAGATGGAGCCCTGGCGGCCAGCTGCCTCTTCTGACCCAGAGGCTGAAGAAGCTAAGCCAAGCACCTCATCTTCCTGCAGCTAATCTCCCCAAGGCCCTGCAGCAAACCTGAACCAGAACTCAGGTCCTCTGACTCCCAGCACAGGGCTCTTTTCTCTCCAAAGGCCCCAGAAGAGCCTGCAGACTCCAATGTTGCCCTTTCCACAAAGAGAAGAGGAAGGAACAATGGAGGAAGGGAATGCTATCCCAGGATCAAGGCAAAAACCCATAAAGGCCAAAGCTTACTATTTTACCCAACATTTCAGCAGGGCCCAGTACTCATTATTCATAAACGATTGGTTCTTCCAATTGCATCTCCCAGGAGTTGACCTGCTGCTTCCCTGACCTATAAAAGTTCAATGGCCCAAGGTCCCTTCTTATCCTTTGACCTGACTCCTTGCTTCAAGACAGAGTGACATGTCTGAGAGTGAACCAGGGACAGAGGTGAGAACAATGGCCAACTCCCCCTACAGGGCAGGTCTGGGCTGACAGAACCACATGGAAACATGCTGAACGCACGGTCTAGCTGTGTGAGTCTGGGCCAGTCACCTCCCATTCTGAGCCTCAGTTTACTCGAATGTAGCGGGTGATCTCTGAGAGTCTATGGTTTATGATTCAGTGGCCTGGACACACCCATTCCTGGATGAACATGTAACACCTTCTAGACACATACGCCAAACTGTAGACACAGTCTCCACACCTGAACACATGCGCCTCGTCTCTGCCATGCTCGTCAACAACACCTGGACATACATATGCCAACGCTTAGAATGCCTACCAGACAGCATGTCCCCAGGCATTCTTCCCAATACCCCTACGGAGGAATGACAATGAGGGAGAAGTCCTGACTGGCCAAGACAAGGAGACTAGGGCGCAGGCCAGGCACACTGCAGTGGGATGGACGGACAGACAGACAGGGCCTGGACAGGTCCTCTGCCTTTCCAATCCTTCAGAAAGGATCCACTGGGCCCCTCCTGCTGCACAGCCGGTCGCAGCATTACTAGCAGGGGCAGGAGGAGAAGGTAGCCCTAGCCCTCACCTGACTTTCCTTTCCAACTGCAGTCACAACACTGCAGGCTGTGTGCTGTGGTGGAAAAGCACTTGACCTTGGCGTGGAAGATCAAGGTTGTAGACTTGCTCCACCTACTAGCTGTGTGACAAGTTACCTCACCTCTCCGGGCCTCAGTTTCCAAGCTAGATGATCCTAGCTTGTGAGGATTAAACAAGATGCTGTACGTCAGGGCCCCAGGCCCGAGCCAGTGGATATCCCTCGAGGCTGAGAGCTTGCTCTTTAAGGCACTTCGTAAGCTGTAAAGCGCCGTACAAAGGCTGATTGCTGATCTTAATTAACATCCCGTCCCTTCTATCTCTAAGGCCCTAGATCCCACGATTCAAGCACAGGGTTGGGGAAAGCAAGGCCAGACTCCCAGTCCAGTGGCTTCCAACCGCCCTGATCCAGCCACTGAGCAGTGGGTTAGGGTTTCAGGGGGAAAAGCCCCACACAGCATGAATCCCAGAGCCCTCTGGCGGCCTCCCCGCCCCCCAAAGCATGTCTGGGGCTTGGAAAATCCCCTGCTGCGCTGAACAAACAATGTGAACAGTTGGGGCCCGAGCAGCTGCTGGGTCTGTCAGCAGCCCAGGCTCTGGCGGGCAGGACGGAGGCCAGAGGGGCCTTGGCTGGCTGGGGAGCAGAGGAAGCTCCGGTTCCCTTCCTGAATATTCATGGGGTGGCAGATGTCTGGCTTCCCCACCTCTAAGGAACCCCACAAGGCGTAACAGGGAAACTGGGGTATAGACACGGGGAGAACGTGGTTCCCCTCAGAGACCAACAGGGCTGTGCCGGGAGCCCAGGAAGGCCTGTTTCAGGGAAAGTGCTTGAGAAACCTGAGACTGCCCATTTTACAGATGGAGAAACTGAGGCCCTGAGGGCCATCTCATTTCCCTGGGAGATAGAGCCTGGAGAGCGGCTCCTTCTTTGACCTCTGGAGATAAGCCAAGCACTGAGGAGACAATTGCTCCCAAACTAGAGGGTCTCTCTGCCTCAGTGCACAACCCAACTTCTGTGCCCAGGACGTGCATCGTTTGGGGTTCAGCTCAGATGCCAGCCCGTGAAGCGGCCCCTGCCTTCCCCGACGGAGTTTTCCTCAGTCTCACATCACACAGCAGCTTTGGAGGTCCCTTCCTCACCCTTAGGCAGACAACTGGATGTGACATGACAAGCTCTGGCCTAGAAACAGAGTCCTGGTTCTAGGTCCCGTCACTTTCCTCTTCTCAGCGTCAGTTTCCCCAAGGTGTAAAAGGAGGAGTCGCCGCACTTCTCAAACATTTTCACTAAAATTCTCCTAGGAGCCAACGAGGACATACTCACGAGGTTTCGGTAACTGCCCGAAATGTTGTTATTTTTAAGCCTCTGGCATTCTGCTCCGTAACCTAACAATGTTTGTTTTAATATAAACATGGTTCCTACACCACCAAATCTTCTTGTAAAAGTGATGCCCTGGGAGGTGGGCCTTGTTTATGCAGTGGCTTTGTGGCTCCCGTTTCCTGCCAACTCCAGCCCACTGCCATGGCAGACCCCCAAAGCACCTCACAGGAGCATTTCTTAGACACCCTTCTAGGACTGGAGTGTACACAGGTGCTCAGTGGACCCTCGCGGCCGCCAGCTTTCTGCCTCAGGGGTCCTCCCTCTCCCACAATCCCTTTTCCTCAGTCTCCTCAGGACACAGCGTTTCTATGCTGGGGAGCCGCAGGGCCATCTCTCAATCTCCTTTTTTGACAGATCATTTTACCCACTTACAGGATAAATTAGATTTTATGAAGCCAACTAGAACCCAGACAGAAAGGAGATTCGCTGCTGAGCCCTACGGCCAACTCAGTGCTGTTTCGTGGGATTAGTGGGGCCCTGGTGTGAGCTGGAGCCTCAAGCTCCATTTTTCAGTGAACTCTCAGGAAGGGGGCATGCCGGTGCGGGAGGGGAACGAGGCCAAGAGGCCTCATTCACTAGGCTAAGAATTTGCCACAAACATCAAACTTCTGAATTTCGGGGCCCAACAGATTCATAACTTGTTTTCAGGCTGA